TGCAAAAATGGCCATGCATAGCTTTTAGGAGGCTTCCAGAGTGCTCCTGGGAGCTGGGGAGGGCAAAAATGAGAATCAGAGGTGGAGGAGGAGGAGGCGTGGGAGTCAGGGTCAGCATTAAGGAAAACTGAGAGCTCTGAGGGGGAAGAGGGAATGGAGCTGGCAGACAGAGAGACAAAGGTGAAGCCCTCAGCCCTCAGATGGAGAGTCAACAGCCCCCAGGTCTGGAGGTGGCTGATGAGGAAGAGGAGGAACAGCTGGGTCCAGTGCCTGACGCACGGATGTGCAGAAAGCAGAAGAGAGGAGAGCAGTGGAAATCTATGGGCCGGTCAGCATCAAGGCAACCCGAGGGGGAAGAGGGAATAGAGTTGGCAGAGAGAGAGAGAGAGAGAGAGAGGGAGAGAGAGAGAGAGAGAGAGAGAGAGCCTGGGCCGTCCATCAGCCCTCAGATGGAGAGTCAACAGCCCCCAGGTCTGGAGGTGGCTGATGAGGAAGAGGAGGAACAGCTGGGTCCAGTGCCTGACGCACGGATGTGCAGAAAGCAGAAGAGAGGAGAGCAGTGGAAATCTGTGGGCCGGTCCTTGGGAAGCAAGAGCCACCACTGCTAGCAAAGCTCCACCGTATGCTGGACAACTATTAATCTCCCTGCCGGACAGACTTGTTAGCCTGCTGTGAGAGAGAAATCTTTTGCCGGAGCTGCTGACAATCCTAATAAAGGAATCATTGATTGAACTTCAGAGGGTTTGTTAAGGCCGGGGAAATGTGTGCCAAAGCCAAACGATTGTTACCGCAACCCTCCCTGGTCTCTGATTAAATCGGATCAATTTTGGCGTGAGAAAGGATGGGGCTGCCTCCTTGCTGGCAACCTCACAGATCTCTGAGCTTGCCTCTGCTCTGTTCTCCGAGCGAGTGGGGGGAGGCAGCTGTTCCTTGTCAGAGGGGGATCTGCTGCCTCTCATCCCCGCTGCCTGGAGCCGATCCTCCCCTGTGTTTGCGAGGGAAGGCAGCTCCCCGTCCGGATGACCACCTCCTACAAGGCCGAAACAGCCTGGGATGGCATCGTCCTTGGTCCGTGGACTCCCCAGACTTGCCATTCCCATCAGATGGCCCTGGTTCAAACTCCTCCACCTCCTCCGAATCGGGATATGATGGAATCAGGAGAGATTTCCTCTTCAATCTTCTTCTTGGTGGCCCTTGGCTGCCAGGAGTTGGGAGCCCCCTGCCACACATGCAGATGTGAAGGACCCCCTCCCCAGATTTCTCTGTGTCTTGCAGCTTAAAGGGGAGAGTTGTGGGAATTTCTGAGCGTTTGGTCTTCCTTTCCAGCAGGTCCCATTGTCCAGCTGAAGAGTTTCCCACACTTCCAACGACTCGAACCCTTGGCTGACTCGGTTTCCCTGAGCGTCTCCAGCCCAGGGCGGACCCCCAGCAGCAGCCCAGAGGGAGAATGTTCAGAGCCCACCACCCAAGGCCCATTTTCCTCCTGCGATGCTCAAGGATGGAAGGGAACAGGTAGGTTCATCACTGGAACAATATAGGTAGTCCTCAAGTTACTACCATTCATTATAGTGGTGGGTTTCAAAATTTTTTGGAACCTCTTCTGTNCTTTCCCCCCTGAGTTGTTCGCCGCCCTGAGTCCCTCCTGGAGAAGGGCGGCATACAAATAAACCAAATACAAATACAAATACAAATACTTCCACTCATAACTGAAATGGCACTCTGCCCCCCGTCTCTCTCACCCCCCAAACAGGGACCCACTTCTCCCCCCAGCTGTCACCCAGGGGAAAAGGGACCAACACACTCACCTCTCACTCAACTTTCCCTTCCAGCCCCAGGATTCCCCAAATAGCCTTCCCAGGCCCGATGACAGAACATTCAGAGGATTTAAGGATTTATTTTTGATTTAAGCCCTGCTTTCCCCCTGGTTTCTTTGGTAATTATTTAAATGTGCCATTGTTGGGCTGTCAGCTGCCTCTCTCTCTTCCCCTCCCCACAGGTGAAGAGCCCCCTTTTCCAGAGGGCATGGAAGGACCCTGCAACCTGAAGCAGGATGAGGCCGAGGAGCGCCAGGCTGGAGCAAGCGACGAGGAGGGTACGAGTGGCAGAGAATCAGGCTAATGTTTCTCTCCGTCTTCCTTTTCCAGCCAGTACTCTGCAGGGACAGGAATGCCCACTGGTTTAAGCCTTGGCTGAGGCTTCCTGGCATTGCAGTCACAGCCCAGTTGGAGGAGACCCCGCAGGAGAGTCACGGATTAAGGGCGAGGTCATGTTCTCTGTAATTTTGGCTCGGAACTGGTCGCATTTGGGTGGCATCCTATTCCTCACCTGTTTTCTGGCCTATTCCCTAAAGTGTCTCTTCCCTGCGTAGGTAAGGATCAAAGCAGCCACCACCTCTGCGCACTCATGAAGCTGGTCAACGAAATCCCAGAGTTCCTTTGTGGACATGCGCAGGCGAGCCTGGATCGGTCCACGCCTGCTGGGGGCAGCGAAAGCAGAGGGCAAGGTTAGTACACTGGCTGAGCAGATTTTTGTTGAGCCTAGATCAGGGGTCCCCAACCCTAGATCTTCTGACCTAGGCTTCCCCAAATCACGAAACAGACTCCTTGTCCCGAAAAAAAACCCCTTTTTATTTGGCTAATGTGAATTCCTAGCATTCACATCCAGCAAAGTCCCGATAAACATTCTTTCACGGGTGAATTGCAACCACAGGGTTCCACCACAAAACTGCGCTCGACTAAACCGTGTTGCTGACGTCATCAACAGGGCGACAACAGCGCGGAGACAGAAGCACGCTGTAAAC